CATGGCAAGGGGCACTGGAGGGTTAATGGTGGGACTTGGGGTGGCGCTGGGGACACTGGGAGCACTGGGAAGGGTCCGGGGCGGCACTGGGAGCACTGGGAAGGGTCCGGGGCAGCACTGGGAGCACTGGTGGGGACCACAAGGGCCACTGAAGTGTTGGTGTGGAGATCTGGGGTGGGACTGGGTGTTACTGGGAGCACTGGGAGGGGCTAGGGACGCGCTGTGGGGTTACTGGGAGCATTTATGTGCTCCCAGGAGCCACACGTGTCCCCTCACACGTGTCCTGAGGACACGCGTGTCCCTTTACGTGTTCCCAGGGAACACGCGTGTCCCCGTACATGTGTCCTGAGACCACACGCGTTCCTTTACACGTGTGCAGGAGCCACGTGTGTCCCTTTACACATGTCCTGAGGACACATGTGTTCCTTTACACGTGTGCAGGGGCCACACATGTCCTTCTACACGTGTCCTAAGCACCCTTTACACGTGTGCAGGAGCCACGTGTGTCCCTTTACACATGTCCTGAGGACACATGTGTTCCTTTACACGTGTGCAGGGGCCACACATGTCCTTCTACACGTGTCCTAAGCACACATGTGTTCCTTTACACATGTCCTGAGGACACGTGTGTTCCTTTACATGTGTGGAAGGGCCACATGTGTCCCTCTACATGTGTTCTGAGGACACATGTGTGCCTTTACATGTGTGCAGGGGCCACATGTGTCCCTTTACACATGTCCTGAGGACACGTGTGTTCCTTTACATGTGCCCCGATGACACACGTGTGTTCCTTTACACGTGTGCAGGGGCCACACATGTCCTACACGTGTCCTAAGCACACATGTGTTCCTTTACACGTGTCCTGAGGATAAGTGTGTTCCTTTACATGTGTCCTGAGGACACGTGTGTGCCTTTACATGTGTGCAGGGGCCACGTGTGTCCCTTTACACGTGTCCTGAGGACACGTGTGCTCCTTTACGTGTGCCCCGATGACACGCATGTGCCTTTGCATGGGCGCGGGGGCCCCGTGTGTCCCTTGCCATGTACACAGGGGACAGGCGTGTCCCTTGGCGTGTTCCCCGGGCCACGCGTGTCCTCCCCGTGCCTGGGCCACGCGTGCCCTTGCCGTGTCCCCGCAGCCTTTGCGGCAGGAAGCGCCGCTCTCCGCCACCATTGTCCGGAGCGGCCCAGCGACGCCGTTTTGGGGCGAAAAACGCCCGGATTGGG